TGTCCCGACACAGCTTTTCTTTTTAGGATATCGATATTGACTCGATACGATATCAGCATGAATCAAACATGCTTTTATTTTATTTTGTACTGTAGATTGTTAGAAAAGGCTTGATCAAAAGATATTTCTAAAAGAGGGAAAAATAATCAACAACAATATGAGAACAGCTTAATTATGGTAAAGAAGTTGACAGTGTTTATTGGCTGATTTCATTTGCTGCCAATTTGTTTAATTTCATTCATTTGCTTCTATTTAAAATGTCTTTATTTCAGTGTGAAATTATCTGGAATTTTAGATGCAGGCGGGTAAAACTCCATATCAGATTTTAGGACCGATATTCAACATTAATATCGGATTGGAAGACCTCTACTTTTTATGTAACTGTTAGGTGAAAGTTAATGAGCAGCCAGGTAGTGACAGAAACGGATTAAAATGTGATCTGGATATATGGGGATATGTTGGTGGATTTCCCCTTTTGTAATGGTGGGGGAAGCGCACATGTCTGAGCACTGAGTCAAGCTCCTCCAGTAGTGGAGGTTCTCACAAATACTTGGGAAATGAGCATGAAAATAATTTTGGAGGAAAAAAAATCCTTCAGCTGTTACACAGCTTGTTAAAAAGCGTAACGGCATTATTTAAGCATTACTTTAACTACTCACAGTGTAACGGCACGTTACGCTGCGATGCGCCGGTGAGAACCCTGAAATATGCAGGTGGCCCACAGATCTATGAAAGCTAGAAGTAAGCACTTTTTTACACAGCAATAAAATTCTCAACATAAACAATGGGCTCTTGAGAAGAGTGCTTTCAAGGTCATGAAAGCAACCATCAAACACTTCAGCTAAATGTTTACATGCCTGTGGTTAATGTAGAGGATAAAGGAAATAGCAATATTTCAATTTTGGTTGATTGAGGGAAAAAAAACCAAAAACAAACACATTTTGGGGAAAATAGCACAGACCTCATCCTTTAGTATGGGTTTAATGTTCAGTCTTTGCATCAAGCACAGGAGCTGAAGTGTCCTGTTTAGTTTGATGATGGGATGGAGTTTGTTTCTTTTCTTACCTTTGGTCATAAGATGTGGATCGCCACCAGAGGTACAAGATCATGAGTGGCGGGGAAAGAAAATAATCTTTCTGGGTGCATCTTAGAAATGGAACGAGGAGCGCAGTCCTCCAGTAGTAAAGCTCCTCTGCATCTTAAAGTTCCAGGTGATTCAGGGCAGGGATCAGGAAGCTTCCCTCCTTTAGATTTTTTTCAAGCGATTCTCATGAGAAGGAGACTTTGGTTTCAGAACCTGCTGGAGGTGATGTGTATCTCCTCTGATCCAGAAACACCTCATCAGCCTCTGGACCAAACTGAACAATGTTGGGAGGATGTCAGTTTCTCATCTGAAACGGTTACACCCATGTCCCCATATTTCACAGATAACACACGCTCCATCAGAAATAAACAAACAAATTACAGATCTAGCTGTTTACATATGTTATTTATACATGGAGAAGCCCTAATGAGTGTTTTTGTGATGGTGCTTTAAGCTAAACAGCCCCTAAACTTAAATGTTTGCAGAGTGAGCAGCATCCTCAGTGTGAGATAACCTTAGTGTAGTACAGAAATAGGGCCTGACTGCTGTGACTCATCTGTTCTGTGTCATTTGCCTCTTGCTGTTTGGACCCGCATCCCTCCTATAGCCGTTAATTTCAGGCGCACATTTCACGTCTCCGTCTTAATTCATCAGAGCAGCGTTCGACTGCAGCGTTTGGGTTGCTGCTGTGGAACGTTAATACTGCCCGTCCCTATAAACGTATTTGCCTTCCTTAACATTTTTCAGGTAGATGGCTGCTCTAGAACATGATGCCAAACAACAGGACGGCCCGGCTAGAGGCAGCCAGGCTCAGTATTCATGCAAGTTTAATGAGCATCCAGACAGTGGGGAGTTTGTTTCTCTGGCGCTGAGCTCTCTCTGCACACAGCGGCTGACTGGGTCAGACACACCAACAGAACAGGTGGGAAACTGAACGTCTGACCCAACTCATCAACAGATCTTAAGTTTTAGCATAAGGACCAGAGTTGATAAACATTTTAGCTCCAGAGAAAAGACTGGCACTGCTGATATGAGATGTTTCTCACCACTAGATGCTGAAAAATATTCCTCTTTCAAAAACGAGGTGAAAGAGTGTTGGATTATTTTAAGTGTTTTAAACAGAAGATGATTAATTTAGGCAAAGGCTGCAGGTATGGCATGATTAATCACACATGGATTCTTTGTAATGGCGTTCAGTGAAGCAGCAGGAGAGCCGCCCCTCCTCCAGTTAAAATGTAGAGAGAAGAAGAGGCTGTTGGTCTACCTCCAGGGTCCGTCTATTTGCTCAGGCTTTTTCTCTCTGTTTGAGATGTAGGCACACATGTTCGACTGCCACTGTTCAAACCAGCTGAGTTGTTTTTATTTATATAGTTTAAGATCACGTCTGTCTTTCTAACTTCTGCTTCAGAACCTGACATGTTTTGAACACATTTCTATTTTTTTGCATGACTCAGTAGTAGCCTTCTTCATTATGTAAACCGCCGGCTGATGTTCCCTGCAACATTTTTAGCAGCTCTTCTGTGCGTCCTGCTGACGACACTGTTCTCATACAAGTTTCTGTGACTAAAAGATGTTGCGTAAAGAGGCTTGCTCATCTTCCCTCTCAGCTTGTTTAGATCCGCTGCAGGAGATAAAGCTGCAGCTACCAGGCAGCGGCTTTCCGCCAAAATTTTATTTTCCCCATCATCACTTTGGAGGAGGGCTCCTGCTGTGTCAGCAGTTTGGCAGCTGAAGTTCAGGAGGTCACATCAAGTGGCACTCGGGTCGCAGCTGACAGATGCATCCCTTCGTTCCTCCTCATCGGATGTTAGCTGGATTTTGGGAGAAATGAATCGGACGTTTATTTTACAGATTGTCTGTTTTAACCGTGGCCTCTCTGCACTTACCCGGCCAGGTCTCTGCGTACCTTAAGTAGGAAGAGACGTAAAAGCAGGAGTACAGACCAAGTAAGGTGGCTCTTTAGTGAGATGACAGCTGCATGATGTTGCAGTTGGTCAATGGAACAAAGTTATATAAGGTGTTTTCTGTGAATGAAAGGGGACAAACACTCTGCTTTCATTTTGTGAGGCGTAGTTTATACGTAATATAACCATGAGAGGAGCCCTTTCAAATGAATGACCTTGTTTGACCCGGCCTCAAGATCTCAGTATAAAAGAGAACTGGGCAGAATGAAAGTGTCAGTTTTCTCATTATTACTGATCCCTCTGTAGCAAAAACAATGTATACGTTTTATATGAGGATTTAACTTTAAAGGGGAAAGAATCTGTCCTAGTTTTCCTGACCTGGTGTGAAAAGTAACTGTTTCACCAGAATGATCCACCTGCTACATAAACAAGGCCCATAGAGTCTTCATCTAAACTGCAGACAGATGTTTTTAGCACAGTTTAAAAATTTTACCTCCAGGTTTTTTTTTATACTAACAGCTTCTTTTTGGACTTGCCACAGCATGATCTAAATTAGACTTTGATTAGGCTACTGAACTTAGTCCTTTATTTTGGTTTTTGGAGCACATCAGTGATTGAGTTGTGCTTTGAAATACCGACCTGCTGCATGAATGAAGTGCCTTTAAAATAAAGCTTTAAGATTGATAGCTGGACATTCTCCTTCAGGATTTCCTTAAGGAAGCGATATTCCTGGTTCCATCTATAATAGGAAGTCATTAAGATCATAATGCAGCAAAGCAGCCCCAAACAATTACTGTTGCATGTTTATAAAAATATTCAGGCTGCAAACTTTCTAGCTGGAGATAAAATAGGCCAATAAAAAAATGTAAAAGCTGCATGTATGCTTTGACATTTTCAAGTTTTCACCGCCTGATCTTACTCTATAGTTTCCCATATACGTTGTATAGTTAGCCCTTTTTTACAGATGATTCTGATCACGATGAACCTGGAAATCCCAAGTTTTCTACTTGATGCTAACTTTACACTCCAGACTTCCATCTATAAGCCTTCATCCTTTAATAATGACAGATCTAGTTTATTTGAACTCTTTTCAAACAGCTCTGACTGCAGTTGGACGCCGCCTGCGCCACTTTACGTCCACTGTTGCCATAGCGACACCACAGCAATGCGGCTGCTCTCTAACGACGCCACTGTGGGACTCTGGGGGAGCTGAGATACGTTGGGACGACGTCTCAGCGGGTGGACGGCAGCATCCAGGCCGTAAAGGCTGCTGTAGACGCTTAGATCATGATTGTGATTCCTGGATACCAAAGTGAAATCTGAGCTGAAACTGCCTCAGGTCGCCTCTGCCTGGTAGCTGGATTCCCTCTGTTTCTGTTTATCACTCTAGCAATAAAGTGTTGCTCTGTAAGTGAGATTTTAATTTAGCCCTGTTTTATGGCAGCTGATTAACTACTGATAGAGGAGCACAGCTGCATGAATTCATTTGATTTTTACTCATGGATATGAGAGTAAAGCTTGTGTGAGAGGCCTCTAGAATATCAATAGACCTTTTCAGTCAGATAAGCAGCTTTCTCATTAGCATCCAAAAAAACTTTCCTCTGGTATTTCTGAATGTACCTTCTTGATGGGATGTCGTTTTCCCTAATAAAGCTGTTCTTGGCTCTGAGAAGAGTGAATCTGATTTCTTTATTCTTTTCCCACTTTGTGGTCCAATCAGCTGAATAAGTATCCAGCATTACTCTGGACATTCCTTTTGTTCTTAACGGTTCCTGTCGGCTGAGTAGATCTGCATGTATCTGCTGTGAATCTGAGTTATCATTGGGATCTGCAGGTTTGGAGGGAAAACAAAATGAGCGGCAAATGATCATCATCATCTGTTGTAGTTCAGATAATTAAAAAAAAACAATTTGTTTTGCGCTTTCTCCTCTCCCTGCCTTGTGTGTAATTATTTTCATCTAATTAGCACTTTACATTCACTGACTTAATTGTTCCTCACTCTCTACCGGCAGGATTGTCTCTGGCTCCAGCTTTGCCTGAAGTTGGGGAGTCTCGACTTACAATATAGTCAAAAGGTTTCTATTTTTGTTTCTTTGTTTTTTTTTTCTTCTTTGCACCGATCTGCCAGCATGAAACAACAAATGCTTATTAAGCAGCATGGTACCTTTCGTCTAATCTCCCAGTGGTTCGCTGCAGTGAATCTAAAAGATTGCTGCCTCCACAGTAGTTTGAACAAAAAAACCCCCAAAAGATTTATTTCCAAAGGATTTTCCGAAGCAGGCCACCTGTAGACTGTCTGTTTGCTCTGCTGCTCGTTTGTCAGCTATGTTTTAAACCCATCGACACTTGGCACTCTTGGATCGTAAAAACCATAATTTGTTATTCCAGACAAAATTCAAGACACCCTGATCTTAGTTTTTCTTTGAAATGCGCTCATTGCTCACACCATGTAAAAATTAGCTTTTTTTGATGCAAAGAGATAAAAGAAGTGTAGTTTTTGGATTGTTTGCAGTAATTAGTCTCCCCCCCACTCTCTCTCTGTCTCATCCAGGCATCATCCTGTCATGAAGACCCAGAAGATCTGCCAGTGTTGGAGCTGACACCGCCAACTGGTCCAGCCCACGCTGCTCCACTATCAGCCCATCTCTCATTCTCCTGTTTGGTCTCACCGCTAACAGTAAAAACATTTCCGTTGACGTCTCTGACTGAGCAGTGTAGGAAAGTCCTGGTCTGGGTGTGCTTTAGCCACTCACACCGCAGGCAGAAGCATCTTTAACCACATCCCCAGAAAACATGTCAAGTCGGCGCAAGGCCTCCACTCCCTGCATGATCCGACCAGAGCATACTCGGGTGGAGGTGGACGATGATGAGGATGACTCGCACAATATGGAGGCAGGAGAATTTTTGTTTTGTTTTTATAAAAATAACTTTAATTTATGGAGGACTTGCTGGGATTAAATGCTTTGATTTAATCTGGTTATTTAGTGTATGTATATATGTATATATCTAATTACCTTTCTTTTTACCAGGTAACTGAAAACCATGTTCAGGAGGCACCCATGAACACGTTCCGTCCTATCCAAGCAGAGCCAACAACAGACTCTGATGTAATGGGAAAAGCAGCTGATCCTCCTACAGGTCCTGATAAACCACAAAAAGAGCCGCCAGATCCCCAGAAACCTCAGCGCAGACAGCAGGGGGGCTACGAGTGCAAATACTGCCCCTTCTCCACACAGAATCTCAACACCTTCAAAGAACACGTGGACTCCAACCACCCCAACGTCATCCTCAACCCGCTTTACCTGTGCGCCGTCTGCAACTTCAACACCAAGAAGTTCGATACCCTAACGGAGCACAACGAGAGCTGCCACCCAGGGGAGAGCAACTTCAAATTCAAACGCATCAAAAGGAACAACCAGACAATCCTGGAGCAGACGATAGAGGGCTGCAGCAACAACGCAGCCATTTACAACACGTCTGCTTCCCATCATGGCAAAGCGGACAGACTGGGCACACCCCCACTTAGCAAAAGCAACGCAGTGAAAACTGCTAAACCAAAAACATTGTCTGCAGATACCAAACGGACAGAATCACAGATGAGTAAACTCAGCTCTGATCTCGCCAAGAAACCAATAACTGCGCTCAACGTGAACGGGACGGTTATCATCCCAGAGTCGACTCTGCTCAAAGCAGACAGCCTTTCTCACATCATGCCTTCTCTACAGCAGCCTATCAACTATACCCAGGTAGGACAGGAGGAGGGAAGAACTTCTGGAAACATCCCTTCATGGATTTTGTTGGATTTTATCTTAGACAAACACAAACTAATGATTTAACACCGTCGGTGGTATTTGTAATAAGTACGAGGAGGTGTCCCCATACTTTTTCATTTAAGATCCTGATATTGACCTGATACAATATTAGCACAAATCATACTGGCTGTTTTTACTTATTTTACACTGTATTGAAAAGGCTTGATCAAGTAATATGACTAAAACAGGGAACAAAAGTTATTAAAAAAGTATGAAAACAACTGAATGAACCAATGAGTAACAGGAACTTTTACCAGAAGCAGAGTGTTTCTATCAGCATGAAAATAAATGAGATTTTAGATGCTTGTCGTTAAAATTCACTATTAGTTTTTGTCTAATATTGGACCGATATCTGTACCTTTTAAGTACAGCTTCAAGTCTTTAGAGATGCGTCTCTAAATTAATATGCATTGATGTAAATCATGGCGTCATCGACATACAGGCTGTTTTTTGTTTTTTTTTTCCCACCTGAGGAGAATCCTCCTCCCTCCTACAGATCTATGCAAACTTCTGTATGTTTCTCTCTGGATTATCTTTTATTTTGCTCTTAAAACCCGACCAGCTTCCTTCTTTCTGTTGAAGAAAACACCATGTTTCACTATAGAGTTGGTGTTTTCAGGGAAAGTTGGCCCCAAGGTGGATTTTTACTACAAGGAACATTTATAGGGTTCAGGGTTTTTGTGAAACTCTTCATTTGCTGCTGCTGTTTAAACAATTTTCCAGGGTAGGAATGTACCTCAGACAAAAGCTCTGGTACAGAGGGGATTTTCCCTTAAACATGTCAGAATTGAGTTTAGGGACTGATGGACTGTTCCAGAGGATGTTCACCCCTAAAATCCCTCCAACAGTTGTTTAAATGCATCTTTTTGAAGAGGGTTTGTGTCTCTCAATCACAAGAATGATTGGTTGCAGTCAATCAGGGTTAGGCTGTTTGGCTAGTCACCCCTCAGTGGCTGCGATTAGATGTTTAAAACAGTTTGCCAGGCTAATTGAAACCTCTAGGAAGCAAGACACGTTCCTATTAACTTGTGGATTTCTTTTATTGTAGAAATGTTTTTATTTTAATTTTTATTAGATCAGAATTTGAGAAGGTTTGAGAACAATGTGAACCTTTTAACTCCTCCATCAAACTAGGAACCAGATTGCATTTGTTGGTATTTTATCCGTTTTGCCTCCAACTGGTAATATTGAGGATACATTTCTTTTTTTTTTTTTAAGTCCTAGAGTTTCCATTCTGACTGGTTCTGTTTCAGGTGCCGAAGATCGCAGTGCCCCTGAACACAACCAAATACAACCCATCCCTGGATGACAACCTGACGCTCATCTCCTCCTTCAACAAGTTCCCGTACCCAACGCAGGCAGAGCTATCTTGGCTCACAGCGGCCTCCAAGCACCCGGAGGAACAAATCAAAGTCTGGTTCACCACGCAGCGGCTCAAACAGGGCATCAGCTGGTCTCCTGAAGAGGTTATCTCTTCCCTCCTAATGATGATGTCTCTCTGTTCCCATGCAGTAGGACTTTCTGTCTGCTGGGGTCTTATTGTGATGGGTAGAGATGTGGGCTGTATTTAGTCTGTAATGGCCTCACATTGGGTTGTTTAACTAAACAGCAGTTTAATTCTGTCAAATTTAAGCACCTGTTCACATCAATTTGATAAAAATATTTATTTTTATTCCCCTAACAGGTAGAAGAAGCGAGGAAGAAGATGTTTAACGGCACCATCTCCTCAGCGCCTCAGACTCTAACAGTAGTGACTCCACAGCTCAGCTCCTCCATCAACCGCACCGCCAGCACCACGGCCTCCAAACCGCTGCCGTCGGCTGCCTCCGTCCTCCAATCCCTCCCCTGTCAGATCCTTGGACAGAGCAGCCTGGTGCTGACTCCTGTGGCCAACGGCTCCAGTGTCACATGTGCACCTCTGGCGCTCACCGTGGCTAACCAGGTATAAAACCAAAGGTGGAAGTTTCATTTCTGTACTTCCAGCTGCTCCTGATAGGAAAGCTTAAAAAGATCAAAGAGGGTAACCTCTCTGATTCCTGCAGGTGGCGCAATCCCTCAAGCGGCCACTGGCCACTCCTGTCATCGCCACAGAGAGCAAGCGACCCTCGATCATTCAGACGGCCTCTGCGCTGACAGCTACGTCCAAGATGGCTTCGACCAAAATGCTTAGCTTCACCACGGACTCAAACAAAACGGCGGAGCAGCTGTCAGTGCTGCGGTCCAGCTACACTCTGTGTCCTTTCCCCGAGGAAGATGAGGTAAGAATAAGTGAGTGGAAGGACATCTTTTTGTGCAGAACAGTTTTTCTTTTTACTGTTTCTTCAGCAAAACCCACAACTTTTTTTTTCTGATGGTGTTTCTTATAACAGATCTACAGGCTGATAGAGACTACAGGACTGTCCAGGGGAGAGATCAAGAAGTGGTTCAGTGAACAGAGGCTCCTTAATCTCAAAAGTAAATTTTATAAAACCATCATCAAACCATCAAACCAGTTACCCGATAAAATGGATCCTCTGGCAGATTTAGTTGTTTACTGTTTATTTCTGCTCATCTTCTCTGAGGTGTAGATTCTTCACCTGTGTCGGTGAAAGCAGAGGCGTCCCCTCCAGTTCCTGATGGTCCTGTGAAGAAAGCTGTCCCGCACCAGTTCCCTCTGCTGGAGAGGGTGAAGGGGAAGACGACAGAGCAGCTCAAGGCACTGGAGGAGAATTTCCAGAGAAGCAGCACTCTGACGGAAAAGGAGCTCGGTAGAGTCTTCACCTCTTCCACAAACACAAAAACCTCATCTCCATAGTCACTTACCCTGGTTTCATGCTTCTTAGCCATCTCTGTGTTCTGTTGCAAAGACAAACTTAAGAGGTTTTCTTGGGTTCTCTTAAAAAATGTAGCCTTTATGAAAGAGCTGCAAGAAGAAAAGCATAAAAAGTTTCCTTAAAGGTGTAGAGGTCCCAGCAAACATGTGGAAGCTGGAGTTCTGGTCTGGTCAGCCCAATTAAGCTGTCTGATGTAGAGGAAAACAGAGTGGTGTTGGTTTCATTGTTCTATAGGAATACTTTTCTCCAGTTAGGACAGAAAAAAACAGTCAAAGTTGGTAAAGGGAGAGACAGAGGAGCTAAATACTCAAAATCCTTAGAGAAAACGTTTGAGGCGGAGGTTTATCTTCCAGCTGGACGAACAACCAGAAACATGCTGCCAGAAAGGTTTGGATGAAATGATATTCAGTCAATAGAATGGTCTAGTCAAAGTCCAGACCTGCATCTAATTGATAACCTTTAACAAAGTACGAAATTGTAATCCAGTTAAATACCTTGAAGTTCGCTGTTGCTGTAATATAGCTTAATAAGAAATGACTGAAGGTGTGTGAAAACTTTAGCATTTATTAAGGCTGAGTTTTGCATTAAATTACATTTTACATCCATTTTAGGAAGCAAACCTTTTAATATGAAATGATTTCCTCCTTGGGGATGCAGGAAGGGAATAAATCAGGCAAATGTTACGTTTTACTGACTAATTAAAGACATTAATCCATTCATCAACATGTTCATTTAGTTTTTGTACCGTTCTATTCGGTCTAATTAGCATTCAGCAATGCTCCTGCTGCTCATGAATTAGACTTTTAAATAACTAACAGAAATCAGGTTGTTTTCTTTGGTTGACATGAGTCCGCAGCATGTGGCTGGGTTTACTTTCACCCTGGACGAGCAGAACATTCGTCTCCTATGGCTGCAGCCATGATGGGAATAGACACATGCTTTCTAAGAGTGAGGAAATCTGGGGTTTATAAAAGCCACGCCTCCTTATCTAATGCTCCTAACTGCTTTTGCTGCAGAACATCTGGCTCAGGAGACCAAGCTCTCCAAGACGGAGGTGGACTGCTGGTTTTCGGAGCGCCGCGCCCTGAGGGACAACATGGAGAAGGTTCTGCTCACCATGGCCTCCAAGAACACAGAAGACCGAGTGGAGCGGCTTGGAGGAGCCCTGCTGAATGGAGCATCTCATCAAGAGCAGGATGGGAAGGACCGTCACTCTTCTCCTCACCCACCTGTCCTCTCCTCTTCCTCCTCATCCTCCTCTTCCCCTCCTGTGCTCGCCGCCTCCTCTCCTCAACCTCAGACGCATTCCTCTTCGCGATCTCCTCCCATCCTCAACTCTTCTTCTCCGCATCCTCCCCTCCTGTCAACCTCCTCGAGCCCAAATCTCATCTCAAGTCGTACACTACCCCTCCTCAGGGAGGTGAGAACTGATGAAAACAGCTTTTATGACTTTGTCCAAAAATGTTTCTTCTGTTTAAGATCATGTATTTATAAATCACACTCTTTGCCGGCAGATGTTCTGCCGGACCCAGTGGCCGTCCCCAGAGGAGTACAGCCAGCTGGAGCTCCAGACAAACCTGGGCCGCACCGACATCGTCCGCTGGTTCAAGGACCACCGCTCGGCCCTGAAGAACGGCGAGAATCTGGATTGGATGGAGGCTCCCCAGAAGCCAAGCGTCACTGAGCAGCAGAAAGCCGGCCAGCAGCAGAACGGACAGGTCTCTGAGAACAGCCAGAGCGTTTCCTTGGAAGTCAAGGCTGTGAATGGTGAGTTGTGGAGGAGAACATCCTGTTCTGTGTTTAAATCTTTATTTTTCCTCCAGACCTACGCTTTAAGCTGAATCTTGTTGGACCTTCCACCTGCAGAGGAGGAGGAGGTCGGTGGGAACGTAGCAGCTGCAGAGAAACAGTCCAGCCAAGACAAGGGGCAGTGGTTGGCCGAGCGGCTAACTCAGGGTGTGGCTGACCTGAGCCGAACGGGGCAGGACCAGAAAAGCTGTGGTGCTTCAGATAAAGGAAGGTAAAAAAAAAACTATTTTGTTTCATATTGGGGAAAAACATCCTTAAACTTTATATCAAAACAGGCAGATAAGAAAAGGATGTGTTGAAGTTTTCTTTTTTTATTATTCTCAGTAAAAAAAATTTCCCTTCTGTTCCTTAATAGTTTTTTTGTTTTCGTTTGCGTTTTCTTGCCAGGTGGGTAAAGGTCACCGTTGCTGCTGGAGAGGAGACTGAGGGAGTGGATAGACAGAGGCTGGCAACCGACACTGGTGTTCTGACCATGGAGCAACCAGGAAGGGTGACTGGTTGATGGTGCGTCCAACTATATACATCTTAGATTTTCTTCTATATGTATTCACTCAACCTTTTTTACCTCTTGACACACAATCTGAAACTTCAACACATTATTCTGGGATTTTATGTTTATGCACACTTCAGCTGAACTTTAAGGCTCCAACTGGACTTGTTTCCTGTGAGTCTCGGACTCTGCCGATTCATTAAAGGACAGGATTTCAAGGCACAGCCAGGGTGTTTAGAGGATACATTTTGGTTGCCTTCGAATTGCATCTCTGCTTTTTTGCGGATGATGCAGTTCGATTGAGTTCTTCAGCCGGTGATCTACAGCGCTCACTAAGGTGGTCTGCAGCCGAGTCTGAAGAGGCTGGGATGAAGATCAATGCCTCCAAATCTAAGGCCATGGTCTTAAACCCGAAAAAGGTTGAAAGCCTTCTCTGAGTCGGGTTTAAGTATCTCACTGAGGGTCTCTTCTTCATGGATGAGAGTGAAGTGGAGCATTAGATCCCTTGTTGGACTGATGCTGCTTTTGCAGTGATGTTGGTGCTGTACCAGTCTCTGGAGGCGGAGATAGCTGAGTCAAAGGCAAAGCTCTCCATCTATCAGTCGCTCTACGTTTCTACCCTCATCCAGTGTGAGGAGCTCTGGGTTGTGACCTAAAGAACCAGGGGAAAGGGGATCTAGAGCGGTGGTCAGAGGGGCCATTGCCACCCCTACCAGTTGATTTGCTGATCCCCTGGGATTTGATTCAATAACCTTGGGACAAGCAGTTTTCTGCTATGCCTGATGGTGGCAGCAGTGATTCCATCATTTGGAATTACAGGGTTTCTGCGGGTCATTAAAAATCATTAAAAGCCATTAAATAATTATTTTTTAAATTAAGGCCTTAATTGGCGTTATAATTCATTAAATTTGATAATCGTGGCATTAAAATGCTTTGGAAAAGAAGGTTGAGGCAGAGAAAAGGCTAGAGAATGGGGAAAATGCAAATATGAACCTGCATACGATGGATGGATGTTATGACCATCAATAAAAGTGGCTAACTATAGAAGGGAAGTAAAATGACTCTTGGTTTTCAACATATGGAGATAGAGGTCTGGAAAATGTGTGGAGAGCATCTGTGACCAATCTACCCCCTTTAGACTCTAGGCTGCTTCTACCAGATTAGCTAAACTAGAACCTTATACCCTATGTCTTTTCCGTTGCAAATCTTTTCGCCGATTCTTTACTGGATTTAGGTCTGCACTTTTGCTTGACCAGTCTAATGCATGAATTTGCTTTAAAAAAAAAAAAAAACCCTTTTTTCATTATCCGACTGGAAGAGAAACCTATACCCTGTAAGCCTGCATCCTTCCAGGAACATCCTTTATTTACATGCATCTACACTGGACGGTCTTCCTATCCGATTAACAATTAAGAAGCTGTGCACTCACTGTGGAGTGTTTAGGGAGATCTGCAGTGTTGGTTTTCTGCCTTGCATGTAGACTAGAGAGGTTAATTGTGGTTTCATCTAGTGGTTGTTTGCTTAATCTGCAAACAGGACCTTTAATAGTGTCCAAGGAACATTGGCTTTCTTCTTCATTAAAAGGCCATATTTGTGTAGCTCTTAAGATATGTATGTGTGTATACATGTATAAGTAAATCCCAATACAAAACTTTAAAGTTTGCAGTTGGTAGAGGACTAAATGTGGGAAAAAGGTTGAGGGTTGGGAATACTTTAGCTAGCAAAGGAATCTGGAAAAGACACTGGATCAGATGTTCAATATCTCCAACTTGGAAGACAATAGGAGTAATGGTCATGAAATGTTAATCTGTAGCTTGTCTTTGTTGGTCGTGGGGAGGGGGACAACAGGTGTTTAATTCACATTTAGAAACTAAACCATTACTTTTCTGCTTTAATTGGCCTTGGTTGTTTCCCTCGTCTGCAGCAGTCAGATTTCAAATACAGCAAGTTCCTCGGTGCTGAATCTGAGCTGCCAGGCTTTTTCCTCGGTTCATCCTGGCAGACGTTCCAGCCCTCTGTGACTCCTGACAGGACAAATTGTAGAGAATAAATGGGTGGCAGGAACAGATTGTGACTTGGCTTCAATTAAATGGTGAACTGTTCCTTTAAGAGGGCACAGCTGTGGCTCTGCAGCCATGCAGGAAGTTACTGGTGTGTAATTACGCCTGATTGGTCCTTCAAAAAGATGGCATGCACCCCCATTAGTATCGAATGCACAGACTAAAGCGCATGATTATCGATCTGTAAGGTCACAGAGGAGTATTTAATTTATTTATAAATGTTAAAGATATTCAGGCTTTTAGATTTCATTACAAACATTGTTGGAAAAGCACAAATACGACTTGTTGATGTGTTCTTTTGTTTGTTTGTTTTTGTTCTGCTTTAGGAGAAATAAATCTATAAATGCAGATTGAGCACCCATCGTGAGGCAAGTGGAGACAACCAATCAGATCCGTGGTGTGTCTGTGATGTCATCAAACCACAGCAGTGTGGAGAAGAGCTGACGCTGACACAAGGAAGAGGAGAGCCAAAGCTGGACTTGACGCAGATCTCCCACTTCTGTTATTATTTAGTTGTCTTAATATTTCTGTAAATAGTTTTTCATTCAGAGGAACGGCCTGTTCAGGTGTTCCTGCAGGGCGGATGGCTTTTCTTTTTAGAGTTTTTGATAACTGAATGTTGCCCCAAAACCTGGAATGTTTCTGGTTGATGTAATGAGATCAAAATGTATTATAGTCTATTTACTGGGGAACCACCCCCTCCTTTTTTTAAAAGATAAAAATAGATGCATTTTGCTCAATATGAGCAGATCTTGATGGCACTTGCATATTTTCTTGTGGTAGAGGTAGATGTTCTCATACCAGGCTGCTTTCAGATGCCTTTACGGTGATACGATGTGGGCGAGCGAGAGGAGTGTGCTGCTGAGGAAACAAAAGTGCACCAGGGTGCTGATACTTTAACAAACCTCGCCACGGTTTGCGTAAGCTGCACTCATGAAGCCGATGTAGAACATAACGTGCACATTTCTACAGAGAACTGATGAATCCCGGAGAATGCAGGGTCTGTTGGACACCAAGCTGCCTTTCCAGCTCATACCTGCAGAGTCGGGTATAGTTTCAGCTTCATGGTTGGTTCTGTGTTGTAGGTTTTGGCTGAAGCTACCAAAAGCCTTTTTTCTCTTTTATTTTTTAGTGAAAATGCTACATGCACTCTGAATACGCCGAGCACCTTTATCTGAGCCTTTTCATGTATCCGTCTTGTTCAGCTGTAAATACACCATCTAAGCTTCTTTTCTTTAGACTCAAGGTGGGACTGAATTCCCTTTTATTTCTGTACACAACTAAAAAAGGTCGGCGAATGGAGGATACAAAAACAAAAATTTAAAAGGCGGATGTAATGTCAGCAGTCAAAAGCTGTCATGGATTTCAAGGGTTTGTTTTTGATTCATACCGAGGCATCGTTTTAAACTTGATCTCTAATTTCTACATGAATGAAATGTTTTTTTTTTCTTTTCAGACAGCAAGTAAAGGAGCTGTAAGTTGCCATCAGCTGTATGACTGTATGCTGACTGCATGTTAGCTCCTGCTGCTTTAGCCTCACGGTTTCAAATACTGAACGTTTTCCTGACCTGTTAAAGGAGTACTGCTTGCAATTTCATTTTCTACAAGAAGTCTGATGCAATTCAATAAAAACAAAGTTGACAGCAAACACTGGTCGGCCCTTTTCTAACAAGAAAAACATGATTTTGAAGAAGGCACAAGCCTGCAAAGTTGACTTTATTAAGATTTCCTGTTAACTAGCATGCAGTGATTTGCAAAGATGTTCAAAAACCTTTCATGTTTTCATCTATTTCACTGGAGCTTTGTAAAAGAAAAGTTTTCATGGTTTTGAACATTTTTCACAGATAAAAACGTGGTTAAAATGCACTCAGACACCGGTCATTTGGCACCCAGGGTGAACTGACCAACCCACCCCACCCATACAAAACAAACCAACATTGTAAAAACATTTTCAAAATTACTTGACATTCTACAGATTCTAGTTACTGTAAAAGTATTGTTACTTTACATTAAGTACAAGTAAAATATATTTTGTGTTACAGCTACTGTTAGAAGTGCATTTTATCCCAAAAAACTGAAATGTCATCATTAAACTTGCGTCTCTCTGTTGCCTTTTGCCACTAAATATTGTCAAACAAGCCTTATTGTATAGGTTTGAATAAATAACATCTCAATGTTTTCAATATCAGTCCATGTTTTGCACTCCTGTTCCTCCTTGTAAACACTCGCTCCAGCTCAAACAGTCGCCCGAGGGACGCAGTGAGGAGGGAAGAGTTGGGGGCGTGTGGTTGGTGTTAATCTGTAGCTTGTCTCTGATTCATATTTACACTTGCAAAAAGCTGTTGTATACAAAGAAAGCGTAATTATGGTAATTTTGTTTTTCACCTTGGTCTATCAGCTCCACAAGCGCCCGTACATTTCTGGTGAGGGTATGTATGCTTATTCACTAAAAAACACTTTATTACTGCATTACCCTTAAAACTTGCAGGACAGCTTGATCTGAGAACCATGGTTCTAAACCACATAACTGAAGGTTAATAGAAACCTAAGAAATAAACTTTTAATTTCAAATTAGACAAATCTCATTCAAAACTTTTGCCTTAGAGTTTATCTGTGATTGAGTTTCAGAGCCGTTAATCCAAAGAAATGTTCTAATTTAATGTGAGCAGATTCCTTACGTTGGTCCTCAAACTCTTTAACCCCCCCTTAATAGATGCCACCCAGAGCAAAGAGCCATGTTCCTAATTAAAAAAAAACTGCACCTGCTCCTGAGCACATCCCACAGGGGAATATGGGCCGGCTCGAGCTAAAGGGACGGTATGTTTCCTAGCAACATTTTAGTTCCTCCAGGATGAACTAAAGCGTTGGTGGGGGAGGGGGTAATTGGCCCGTTACCCAGGCGGCTCGATGGATGGCCATCACTCCTCCTCGATAAAATGATGTACTGATAATCAGACTGCTTCATTGTGGTAGTGGAAGATTGTTAGGCAGCAATTAATGTCAGCTCCTCCTCTTTTAGGGAAAAAAAAAAAATTCACAGAAACCATTAAACTGGCATTAAGCATCTTCTCCTTTACATATTCCAAGTTTATTTTAATCCAAAGTATTGCGTTATATCAGCCTGAAAAATAATGAAAACACCCACACATATTTTCAATAAACAGCTGTATTTACAAAATAAATCATTTTCACCTCTTTCAGATCGTGTCTCTTGACAGAAAAAAAGTTCCAACTCTTCGCTCAAAGGCTCCAAATTATTTTACACTTATGGAAACTCAGACCTGGCAGCTACAGTTTAAACAGCCTCAGTCCTCCTGCTGATGGCGGCACGTTGAGAATTACAATGTAATCTGAAATTGCATCGCAGCGAGGGAGGAGTCTGAATCAATGTGTGCAGCTGCAATGTCCTGACCGATGGCATGTGGAGGAGAAAATGACGGAAGAGGACAGGAAAGATGGAAAGGAGAGGGTGGCAGGATATGAACAGTTAGTTTTTGTCTGGCTGCTTCACACAGAAACACGTGCAGTAGTAAAATCAGTGGCCAGAGTCTGAGTCCTGCAGTGCAAAGCAGTTGTGGTTAAAATACAAACTTCCTCTGATTTCACCCTGGATCATCTTTTAGGACCTAACGCACAGATTAAATTTGAGGTAAAAATTTTTTCTCTCTTTCAAACAGAAAATATGAGGAAGCAAGAATTTTAGCCGAAACAAAATCAACTGCTGGGCTGTTTGTTGGTGGAGTTGAGGGAGAGTAGATCTCATTCCCCCCCCAGGCGGAAGCCCTGCCCCCAGTTGTGACGTCCTCCACCCCCTCCTCCTGCGGCTGGCTCCTGGGGAACTGGTCTCCTGGTCGGAGGAACTCCAAACCCGGATACTCCTCCTCTTGTGTTCGGAAAGAACCGATATCTGGAGCAGGAAAACAGTCGATTTAAAAATGACCTTGTTACTAACAAGTAAGTAAAGTTACAGAAACACCTGAAAATTATCGGTAAGAAGAAAAAAAACTATTTTCTACAGATGGAGTAAAACCAGAAGCTACTATATTCAGTAATTAATCAGGAAAAAAAAAAACTGATCAGTGAAGCTTTTCTTTGATCTATTCTAAAAACTACTGATTTCTATTCACTGGATTGCTGATAGGCTGTCGGTAGTACAAAGTGCTTTGAAATCACCAGCCGCCATATTGGTCCTCCCTAGTAAGACCGGGCTTAATGTAAACAAAACGTGCGCTACAGTATCAAACAACGATGATGTTCTCATTTTGAGGGGGGTTTAAGACTTTTAAAATAAAGATAAAGTCATCATTCTGACACATTTGCCGTTTCACAGCATCACTTGATGACTGTAATTTACAGTTAAAAAAAGACATCACATTGCATATTTAAAATGAAGTCTATAGATAATGTAATATAATATCATACAAATCTACCACAAGAAAATTAGTGCGTTAATAGAGTTTAATACTACTGTAGGCAGATATTAGGAATATTACAGACACATACTATCTGATGATGTTCCAAAGTGCTAAAATGATAATGTGCATGTATTGATTACATTGTTATGGTAATTACATTACAGGCATTAATATGGCGTGACTCGATGGCCGTTTCTCAATATGCGTACTTGTGCGTTCTCGTGTGCTCGTTAAACGCCATCCACCTCAGCCCTAGTATTGTCCAAATTCACAAGAAAGCGAAGACAGAACAGATAGAGTCCCCGGTTGTTGTTCTCGCCCTGTTGCTACCCGATCCTAGCCTGGGTGCCATTCCAAACTTAGTCCCGCCCACAACGTTTGAGGTCAGGAAGTTCGGTCTGGCATTGCTCAACAGTAGCGCGAGTATGCTAGCACAATATCTGGCGGGCCAATCAAATTGTCAGGGCGGGCTTTATACGATGATGGACAGATGATCAACAGTAACGTAATCAACCACGTGACCAAAGCGCGCATGGGTGACAAAAACAATGGCTGCCGCTGGAGAGTTTAGGTGAGTAGATTCTGCTATTAGGTCTGTTCTAGAAGATATCGACAGCAAATTAATTTTAAAAGGAGGAACAGAGAAACGCGATCAAGGCTCATCTTCTTATTATAGTCGTGCAACTGCACGCTTTGATTTTTGTTGACAACAACTATGCGTCGCTTAACATACGTCACGCACTCCGTTGCTCTTATTGGTTGTAGGTCTATCCAATTGAGTGCAGAGGCATTTTTTTTCCCTGGTTCATTCAAAACACGCCCCATAATCACAGCTCTATGAAGCAGTATCAGACTCATATTCTGACTAGAATTGAGTAGGACTACGTCAGGCTAACCCGATCCATCCCGGAAACACGATCCGTTCTGCACATGCGCCATCAGGTAATTTCCGCATGTGCATCCAGATATACATTGGGTTCGTCCTCAATTTTATTTTGTTAAAAAGACCTAAATGTTTTCCCTTCCCAAAAATAGTAAACATACTAAATTATAATGTTTTGAAGGTTAATAATATATTTCCTGAGAAAATAAAGTCCTTAAAATCCTGTTTTATCACTCGTCTCTGCCCGGCGTGCACCGGAAATGGGATCCTACGCTACTTCCGACGGCTAACTTCTTCGGCTTTGGATTAAACATAAATCTAGTCTTTTTGAATTTTATGTTTTCGTTTCGTTTTAATCTCATGCTATATAGTGCGCAGTCTTAAGAAAGAAAACTTAAATGCAGATTAACATGTTTTAATCATATTTTGCCAGACTGCTCTGAGCATGTCCCATGATGACGTCAGAGAAGCAGTTTAACGAAGAAAATGTAAAAAGCATAAAATTTGTCTCATAAAAGTCATAAAACATTTTTTAAAGATGTGTATCAGCATTCTTTAGTGAGTTAAGGATAGAAATAAGTAGTCGTAGTTTTAGCATCATAATTACATTATCTATGGACACCTGGATGTATATCTTTCCGTGCATGCGCAGGACGCATCGTGCTTCCAGGATGGATCGGGTAGTGACACGCCCCTCCCTATTTACCCAGCATGCATCAGAGCAGACTTGACCGTTCTTGAGATTCACAGCTGTCCCAGCATGCACTGTGGCAGCAGCAGCTTTCAATGGAGTGCTCCATTGAAAGTTTAAAGTTCTGTTTTCTGTTGATCAATAAAAGTGAGTTTTAAGATCATCAGAATCTCAAACTTTAAAGCTTCACTATATGGTATATTTATCTACCTAAGGTGTAATAAAAAAAAAAAAAAAAATCAAACTTGAGAGGACAGCAGTAACCAGCGGACCTCCGAGGGTAACGGCAGTCAGGGCTAACCACAGCCCGTGTGCAGCAGCCCTCTCCCAAGGACCGCTGGCTCCGATGGCAATGTTTTTTTTTTTATTTGGCAAAATGATCTTTGATTTGTGTTTATGTGACTGTGTTAATTATTATTCCCCGCCAGATGAAAAAGTAATAATTTATCATTATCTAGAGACTATTAATAACAGGAGATGAAATGCAGCTCTAGACGAGCATGTGGTGATGTCATCAGTACGCGTCTGTTCCAATTGACCCATATTTATGCTGCGTGCAAACCATGAATAAATAGAGATCAGTGCTTTAAACTCACAGGAACTCTGGTGTGGACAGGAAGCAGCGTCCTCCCAGGTCCATGGGGTATTTA